ACTGAGGAAGCAAAAAACCTATACCAGAAAGCTACACAACACTGAAGAAAGAAATTAAGGAAGACACAAATAAATGGAAGTATATCATATTCACAGATTGGAAGAATGAACATCAAAATGTCCATACTACACAAAGCAATTTATAGATTTAGTGCAATACCTATTAAAATACCAATGACCTATTTCAGAGATATAGAACAAACATTTCAAAAATTTATATGAAATCCTAAGTGACCCTGAATAGACACATCAATTTTTAGAAAGAAGAACATATTAGGAGGGATCACCATACTGGACCTCAAACTATATTACAAGGCCATGGTAATCAAAACAGTCTGGTATGGGCATAAGAACAGATATATAAATCAATGGAACAGAATAGAGAGTCCAGAAACAAACACTTGTCTCTATGGTTAATTAATACTCAACAAACGGAGACAAAGTATAAAATGGAGTAAAAATAGCCTCTTCAACAAATGGTATTAGGAGATTGGACAGGTACATGCAAAAAAACGAAACTTGACCACCAACTTACACCACACACAAAAATAAACTCGAGATGGATAAAAGACTTAAATATAAGTCCTGATACCATGAAATCCTAGAGGACAACATAAGCAGGAAAATCTCAGATATTCCTCACAGCAATATTTTCACCAATATGTCCCCAAGAGCAAGGGACATAGAGGAAAGAATAAACAAATGGGACTTCATCAAAATAAAAAGCTTCATCACAGCTAAAGAAATCATCAGCAAAATGAAAAGGAAACCAACCATGTGGGAAAATATATTTTCCAATGATATCTCAGACAAGGGTTTGATTTCCAAAATATATAAAGAACTCACAGGACTCTACTCTAGGAAGACAAACAATCCAATTACAAAATGGTCAAAGGACCTAAACAGATGCTACTGGAAGAAGGACATTCAGAGGGCCCAGAGACCTATGAAAGGGTGCTTAGCATCACTAGCCATTAGAGAGATGGAAATTAAAACCATAATGAGATGCCACTACACACTGGTCAGAGCAGTCATCATAAACAAATGAACAAACAGTAAGTTCTGGTGAGGTTGTGGAAAAAAGGGAACCCTAGTACATTGTTGATGGGAGTGCTGCCATGTAGAAAACAATATGGATTGCCTCAAAAAACTAAAAATGGAACTGCTGTTTGACCTGGAAATTCCACTGCTAAGACTATACCCTAAGAATCCTGAAACCACAACTCAAAAGAACCTATGCACCTCTAAGTTTATATTAGCAAAATTTACAATAGCCAAGTGCTGGAAGTAACTTAGGTGCCCATCAATAAATGAATAGATAAAAAATTATGGTACATTTACACAATGGAATACTATGTGGTAGAAAGAAAGAAGGAACTCCTACCCTTTGTGACAGCATGAATAGAACTAGAGAACATTATGCTAAGTGCAATAAGACAGGTGGTAACCCAGTCAGGGCACATGCCTGGGTTACAGGCCAGTTCCCACCAGGGGACGCATGAGAGGCAACCATACATTGATATTTCTCTCCCTTTCCTTCCATTCCCTTCTAAACATAAAAAAAATAAAATCTTTAAAAAAAAGGTGGTAAAAGACAAATACCGTATGATCTCACCTATCAGTGGAACCTAGTCAACAAAACAATCAAGCAAGAGACATTGAAATAAAGAACAAAGGGACAGTAATTAGAGGGGAGAGGGCAGTTAGATAATGGGGGAATGACGGGAATGGGTGGTCAAGGAACATGTACAATGGACCCAGGGACAAGGCCAAAGTGGGGAAGGATTGAGGATGAAAGGTGGGAGTGGGTGGGGCAGGGGAAAGTGCTGGCATGAAAATGGAGACAACTGTACTTGAACAATAATAAAAAGAAGTACAAACTGTGTCTCAGGAATGATATATATGGCAAGATGACAAATGTGCTTGGTATTGTGGGCAGTATAGGATGTGTGCAATGCTTAGGAGGAGTTTTATCTAAGAAGACAAAAGGACTAATGGCAGGTTATTGTTAATAATAACCTTAATTTCTGATTACAGAAGATACTAATTTCAGGAAATTTGAAAAACATAGAAAAGGAGAAAGGAAAAAAAGAAATTACCTATAGCACTACTACTGAGAAAAAAAACATGTTTAACATTTCAACTGCTATTCCTCTATCCCTATAATATAAATGTATATATACTAAAATTATATATGTTTGTGACTGTTTTTCTGACTTACAAAAAATAAAAAATTTTCATATGCCATTAAATATTCTTTTAAATATGTTTTAGTTCATATTTAAAACTAAATATGATAGTATCCAATACTATCATATTGGATGATATGGGTAGTATGTAAGAGTGTGGATAAACTGTATACATGTACTTTGCTATATATGTGGAGCACATGCTTTTTATTTAGTACAAATTTTGACAAGTGGAATTTTCAAAGGGTCATTAGCATCTTGTCATCAACTGGGCCTGGGTGAGGTCACCCACAGAGAGCATGAAATATTACAAGGAGACTTAGGTGGGAACCCAGTGGCCCATCACTATTGAAATGGTTGGCAGAGTAGCCTAGAAATTATGGTCTGAGGGTTAAAATAATGTGGAAAGGGTGGTTCACTGAAGTTTAGTAATAAATTCAAGAAGAAAAGAACAGTTCTAATAAACTGTTAAGGGCAGAAGACAGATTGCAGTGAGGAGAGATCCATGAAAGTTGAGAAGTGAGAACAAGTTTGACAGTAAAGGGAAGGAAAGTGATGTCTTAGAGAATGAGACTGGGTGGAAAAAAGTCAGAAAAAAATTTAACTTGAAAATATTTAAATGTAAGAAGGTGTCAGTTGAAAAGAGATGATGAAGCTTGTAGAGAGAGAATAATCACTGACCCCTGTTCTGAGAAGATGAAACAAGGAAGCATACATATTTCTCTTAGACAAGAAGAAAGAACAAAAGGATGATTCCAAGGGTGAAGAGAGAAGTTGGAAGCATTCATCCATGATGATGCCTCTATTTTCTCTATGTATTGTAGAAGGCAAGGCCATGTGATGGGGGTGAGCAGATATGAGAGGTGGTGTGGGTGGTTCAGGACAGTGGTTAAAATCAGGAATAGCTTTTAAAAGGCAATGGTAAAGAAAATTAACTAGAGACAAACAAATATTTCCCAAGAAGGTTTACAGGCCCAGCTGAAGTTGAGACATTAATTGTATAAAACATAAAATTGTTTAGAACATGTGATTTTTCCAGATAGCACCTTCTTCACCAAAGCTGATGAAGTGAATGTTTTTTCAAAAAAGGATTCAGCACATGGAAAGGGTAATTGAGAGTACTTCTGGGAGAAGAACTGAAATGACTGCTCTTGGAATAATCAGAGGTTAAGCCAGGAGGAGTCCAAAAAGGAGAATTAAAGGAACTAGAAATCTTGATGAAATTGAATGACTGTAGAGATGGAATTAAGAGACTGAGTGAGCTGAAGGGTTAAAAAATTCTAGCCTGAAAAAAAGACTTCAGGGTGTGACACAATTGCCATAGTGGAGTAAGTAGGTGCTCACAAAGCTCAGGATACAATTATGAGAGGAAGCTTCTGAAGAAGTCACTATAAAATGTAAGTCTAAGAATATTACTGGAAGGATTGCTCATGCGGATGTTGAAGTCTCACAGATGATGGCAGAGGTTTCACAAGCACTGTTATCCTTAGTAAATGCCATCAGGAGTGTCTGAATTTTGATAGGTGACAACCAAAAAACTGGAAGGTGAGGATACAGCACACAGGAGTCAGGGGCTCAGTGGAAGGGTTGCAGATTGTGACATTTGGGTCTAAAATCCTGTTTCAGGTCTTGCCAGGTGTGAGCCTAGCCAGGTCCCTTAACTTTTCTAACTCTCCCTTTCCTTGTCAGTAAAATGGAAATATCAATATTAATATCACTTAGCTCATAGGAATGCGATGAGAATTAAATGAGACAACACATAAAAAGTGCTTCCTTTAATGCCTGGCACATAAGGGCTCAAACACATTACCTATTTCATTAGATAGAAGGAAACTGAAAAGGATAAATTTTGCAACAGTGTAGGAAAAAAACTATCTGAAAATAGTTGTAAAAATGTCAAATATATTTTTCTTTCATACCTAGAAGTGCATTTGAAATTCCCCAAAACAAAGAGGTAAAATCAATCTGATCCACTTTTCCACAGACATTTTTGCTATTTCAATAAAGAATTATTCTCTACCCATACCTTAAACCATGAAGTAAAGTGAAGACTGGTGATCAAATTACTTAAATAAATAAAACAAGTTTAAGATATTGTGTAATATGGAGAAATAAGCCATTGGTTTCATAACCCCTACCTTTACTCAGCAGATATCAGCGATCAGGAAATGGGAACACAATAGGATTTCTCAATAATGAGATACTGCTTTTTAGAGGCTGAAAATCATTGATATTTTCTGACTTTGAAAAATGAGGATTTTAACCGTGAATGAAAAAAAGTAAAAATCACTGAAAACCATAAATTAGTAGGTCTCTCATACATCTTTATGTTGACTGGTATATGTAAAGAAGTTGGACTGGAACTTGAGATCAGATGTGGTAGCATTTAGTGAGGAACTATTCTATGCACTGAACACTACACAATCTGCAAGGTAAATATTAATATACCCACTTTACAGATGGAGAACCAGAGGCTCCCCAAAGACAATAACTCTATCTAGATTACCTATAGAGTAAAGAGCAGAACCAGGATTCAAATATAGCTCCACCTGGATCTGAAACCAATGTCCTGGGTATTACTTTCTAATACATTATGTGAAATGAGTTATATGACTTAGAACAAAATGAAGAGGTTTCCATACTCTATTTAATATTCCTGGGGCCCTACTTCTTAATCTATAAAATAAGTGGAGTGGTCACCTTCAGCTCTACCAATTCTAACATAATTCTCATTGTCTATTAGTATGAAAATCAGATTCACAAAGAAAATGCTTCAGTATATAGAGTAAACAATGTTTTTAAAATTCTGACCTCATCCCAGAAGGCTGTTACATTCTCCATCACTACTTCCGTGGTTGTTAAGTTATATTCCAATGTCTTAAACTCTTGCTTTTGTAAGAAATCCTGTTTATAAAAAGAGAGCAAAATCATAATATAGAACCAGAATAGCAAACTATTACACCTATTCCACACTCTAATGGTGCTGTACCTTGTATTTAAATTTTATGAATTTCTCAATAAATAATTTAAAAATAATTTCTAAAGTAAACTTGCCAAGCACTAGGAGTCATCATACTAGAAATACATTCTTTAAACCTGAAATATTATATAAATTTGGTTTTACACATTAAATTTTAACGTACGTTCTTGTACTATACATGCTAATCTTAGTGAAGAATTTATAAAGCATCTCTGCATTAGCCACCAATCTGCCTTAATTAGGACAGAGATAAAACCTTTATCTTTATAGCACCCTCCCTTTATTAGAGACATCATTAGCATCACTTCTCTGGGTTAAGAGAAGGTGCGAAGATCTGATAGAGCTGATTTTAAATAGTCATCAAACCTTGATTCTAAAAGGGTCTAATTAGAAACTCTACTTCACAGTATTCAGAGGGAAGGTAGGAGCATAAGGAAGAATTAAGTCCGTGCATCCTGAAGCCTTCACCATAGGAGGTAATGAAAAAAGCCTAGTCCTTGCCTCACTTTTCTTCCCCTTTCTTCTCTACTCTTCTCTCGCTATCTCTATTTGAGTTTCTCTCTTTTTCTCCAATGTATTTTCAAGATGTTTCTCTATCTCTATGTTCGTGTTCAGTGGCTCTCCATCTCTGTAACACTCTCATTTTCCTACTTCTGGTCTACATGTCTGTTCTCTCTCCCACCACCTTTTCTCTCTTAAGTCTCCACTGCACTCTCTCAAGTATCACACACACACACACACAGAGCTGTGATGGGTTAAGAGAAGAAATAAGATTAGTCCAAGACTTGCTATGGTTTTGAGCTACATTTATCAGATCTCATAAATTGCAGATCTCAAACTCACAAGAGGGAGTACCCCAAAAAACCCCTGGAATTATCTTCTGGATGGCAGGCTCCTCATAGTATAGGCTTCCGCAGCTAGGTGAGTGTTCTAGGAACACATCTGTAACAGTGTACTAGCTGGCATTGTTGTGAGAGGCTGTGTTCAGCTTCAGTGAATTATTTTTTTGAACACTTTCAGTGCATTTGTCCATTTCACAATGGGTGATTTATGAGCACACCTGTGTACACCATGCTGAGTGTTCAGCAGTTTTTGACTAAAAAAAGACATGACCCCTATGCCCCACACCTCCATTCACCCGATCTTGTCCCAAGTGATGTTTTTTTTTGTTTCCCCAGATGAAAAGAGTTCTGAGAGGAAAATGTTTTGCGGATGTGGTAGAGATAAAACAAAAAAATGGCAGAAGCACTAAAAGACATAAAAATCAATGAGTTCAAAAACTGTTTTGAGCAGCAGAAAAGTCACAATAGGTGTATTGCAGCAAATAGAAAATATTTTAAAGGTGACTTAAGTTTCAACTTGTAAGAATAAATACACAATTTTTTTAATAAATAAGTTCCTGGGTGTTGGGGATCCCCCCTCATATTTATAAAATAATAAAATTGAGGAAGGCAGCTAAATAGAAATTGTGATGAACTGGAGAGGGCAGTATCTCTAAACAGTTTGCCCAACTAGTAAAGTTCTAAATTGTATTAAAAGCACTGTATACAATGCCTACTATGGTTTATTACCTGTATTTTGTTTATTGCTCCGATAGAGTCATACCATGTTTGTACAGCCCATGGGAATTGCCGAGTGACTGCCATGCGCAGAACGATGCAGAATGAGATGGTTGTGAATATTTTTCGAAGGATGATTCCTTTGTTCAATGCATGGGGAAGCACAGAAAACAGCACCACAAAGAACCCTGAAGAGAAGAAGGCTGAGCTATTCACGTATCTTACATAGGCTGCCTTCTGGGTCAGTTTTAGTTCTGTTCTATAAAACAAAATAATAAGATTTGGAATGCTTATTTACTGTTCAAATATGAAGCATCCTGGAATGTAAAATCTGAACACAGACTCCCAAGGCTTTGTGACCTGGGGCAAGTCATTTAACCTTGCTAGGCCTCAGTTACCTTACTTAAAAAAGAGGAGTAGAAATAAATGTACCAGTGTCTTGCCAATAATACCTGTAAATATTATTTTTAAACTATAATTAATAACCTCAATTACTACATTATTTTATATCTTATCACTTCATTATTGATTAGTGAGACTCTGATAATTTTTTGTTTGTTGGTTGATGTTTTAAGCAATTAGGTATGGGAACGAGGACTGTGATTTCCTAATAGATTCTTAGCATTTTAAAAATTCTAGCTTGGCTTTGGGGAACACCAAAAATATACAAGCTACAAAGGAGTGGGTCTTAAGTGTTAGTATAGGTAAAAGTCACCTGAGAAACTTTTTAAAATGCACAGTCTCAGGGCCAGCTCTCAGAGATACTGACTGAGCTTGCAGTAGGTTAGAAAAAAAAAGTACCCATGCAAAAGATTCTGTTGCACGTGGTTCTTGAAAAACTATAAGGAAGATACCACGTCCTCCTTGTCTCTCATTTTAATATAATTTCAAGTTATATTATACTTCTGATCTTCTAGTCCAAATTGAAAATGAGAACTATTTTCTTTCCAGCACATAGGAGAGGTTTACATGGTCCAAAAGGCAGAAAACAGGGAGTGCAGAAGCTGGTGAGAGTAGAGGACAATGCGGCCCTCAACCTCTCTCCCATTCTTCCTGGACCACAGAAACTTGAATTGTTTGTGATCCTCCTATTCAGCTCTTGTAAAGGAAAGAGCAGTGGTGACTCAGGTAAGTAGAGGGTCCTGGTGGGAGGGACCAATAAGTGTGCTTGGCATTTGGGTGCTACTTCCACACATCTGTATAACTCAGAAAGGTTCTCATTGTTAATTAGAATTCAAAGGAAATATTTTTCTTTTTAGGTTTAAAAAAATGTAAACTTGAGCACTCAGATAAAAAAATTGGAGTTCAATGTGACCAACATAGATTGTGATCTACAATCTAATGTTCACTTGTATCAATTGTTTGGCATTGAAGGGAGATTAGGATTTTGAAATTTCACTGGGGTTTGACTCCTGGCTGTGCCAGTTACATCTATGCTACCTTAAGCAGGTTGTTTTTCCTTCTGGTGCTATAAAATCTTCATCCACAGATGGGAAACATAACATTGTCCTTATGAATTTTTTGCCAAGATCAATGACATTACAGCAGGGGACCTGGCATTTGAAACTTACTGTGTTGTCTTTAGTCTTCATCAGAAAAAGAATAATAGTGGCTACAGTGATATCAATAAAATGCTAGAAAACACTATTTACAAAAAAGTTAACAAATCTCTCAAATTGTTGTTGAAATGTATTAGAAACTTGAGGAAAACGGAAGAAGTAGTACTATAGGGAAGGAATAATGGATTAAAGAACATTTATAAGAATCACCAACAAAGCAGTACTCTCCATTATAAAGTCACTAACACTTTGAGTCATAAGAGTATTTTATCAGTTTCTTATAAAAAATTTGAAAATCATTTTATCACCAAGAACAATATGGGAGCAGATAATCAGGGAGCTTTGCACGGCCTTTTGAATAGGTGAACAGTAGTCTAAGCCAAGGTAACCACCCCTTTGAAGTGCATCCCTCCAATCTCTCCAGAACTTTATATTTGCTCTTTTGAATAGAAGTAATTCTTGTTTTCTCAAATTTACGTCAGCACTTTACAGCCGTTTCAGGTAACAATTTCATGCCAGATTAAGGAACTGGATTATACAAGTTCCAACCAAACATTTGCTATTAGAATTGGTTGAACAAAAATACTGAGTAGGAAGGATGCATTTCATCTTTTTGGGAAACAGAGAAAAAAAGTCAAGAAAAGTCAGCAAGCAGAACAACCTGACTAGATGTTTACCTTAAGGCCTGAGAAAACCCCTCATCACTCTTGCTATGTTTGTGTTTACAGGCATACAAGTGACCAAGGAGACAAGTGTGATGGAAAACACTTGCTAATGAGAAAAACAATGTTAATAAAACAATTCCCCAAGATCTTTAAGGATGTTTCTGGAAAGAAAACAAAATTCCTTTCCTGGATTTGTCTTGAAAGGCATAATAAAAACAGGTGAGCAATAATGTTTGGGAAATAAATATCCTTTTCTTCTTTCTATTTACATGGCAAAGGACTTAACATTTCAGCATTTCCTTTGTTGTTCCAATCACACACCTGCAGCTCAGTTACCATTACTGTCTACTGGAAGCAGCAGCCCATATTCCTGATAACCCATAGTCATATTACCCAAAAGGATGCTCTTCTTTTTAGTATATTTTTCCTTTGAAACTTGTCCTGTGTTACCCATACTGAAAAATTTGCTCTCTAACAGTATATCTATTCCAACTGAGTCTCCTATAACCTTTTTAATGCACTTTGTAGAATATGGAACTTGACTAAAGAGAAATGGTCTTATGCCTACCCTAGTTTATATTTTGCCCAAATTATATCAGTAATCTCAGCTCAGTCTGCACTGTACTTTTTTGCTGGATCTTTACTGAGCAGTGATAAGAAAGGTTATCTGAGGTAAAACAAGACCAGAGATAGGTACCAAATACTGATTCTACCTCAAAATGTGGTTTTCATAACTTGAACTGAAATCTCAAGTGGAGGGTTTATAGAAATACAGTTTATAGATGTTTATAGATATTACCCTGTGTTAGTATTCCTAAGTAGGAAGAACACACATATTTTAACCAAATGAAGGTTTTTTTCATTTTTCATGAGCCATAATGCAAAGACTGAAATACATATAATAACAAACAATCATTTATTTGATTCAGAATTGTATATTTATCTCTCTAGCAGTTCTATTTAAGATTTCAATCAGCCTTCAGCATCATGGCCATTATTTTAGTCAAATAAGTATATTAGGCAGCTATAAACATATAGAGGATATTCTTTCATAAGGTATAAAAATACTCTTCTAGTGAAAAATAACATACTTGACAAACTAAAACTACAGCCCATGAAAATGACTTTATGCCACTTAACACATGAATACTGCGATAACTCAGTACAGTTGTTTGATTGTCAGAAATTTGAAATATGAGCTGGAAACCCACGGTAACTAATTTTTGAAGTATTAACCATTAACTGATCAATGATATTGAAATTATCTAAATGACTTACTTCCTTAGATTTTCAATCATTTTTTCCATTGCTTCCTCCCAGCAGTATGCCTTAACAGATTGGATATTTTCAATCATTTCTGATGTGATCACGAGTCTTTCATTGATTTTCCCAGCTCTCTGATCTCTGTAAATCAATCAATTTCACAATAAAAACGAGTCAAATTATCCATTAATAACAGCTCAAGCCTCTAAGAAGCAACACTTCTTTTATTAGATGGATGAACATTATATTATCAAACAGGTGTTAATAAAAGTATCTACCACTTAGTAAATGCCTCTTATGTGCCAGACATTGTACTAGATGCATTCCATACATTATCCCTAATTCTTAAGGCATTTTAGGAATGGTGGTCACTTTTACTTTAAAGATGAAAAACCAGCCCTGGCCAAGTAGTTCAGTCAGTTAGAACATTGTCCCAAAACATCGAGGTTATGGGTTTGATCTTGGTCAGGGCATATACAGAATAAACCAATGAATGCATAAATAAGTAGAACAACAAATAAATGTTCCTCCCCCTCTCTCTCTTTTCCCCTTCTTCTCTCTCTAAAATCAAATATTTTTTAAAAAAGAAAATAGATTGAAAACCAGACACTCAGTGGGGCAAAGTGGCTTATTCAGGTCACATAACTAGTAAGCATGCACCCGAGGATTCAAGCCAAGAGCTCTCTAAGTCCAAAATGTGGGTACTTTTATCAAGCTCTAGCTGACAAACTCTAGAAGTCTTCTATATAAGCAATGACTGATAGCACTCACTGAGTCATTCTGTAAAAATAGTAACTAAGGCTCTGGTGTGATGATCCATGAACCAGGGTAGGAAAAGCTTATTATACACTCTACACAAAATCCTCTCCTACTCACAGCAATGTTTTATCCATTGTATTTAAATCTTAAATGATCTACATAAATGAACTGGATAGTAACATAAAGAAATTCTACAAATTTATAAGTAAAAAAGATCCCATTGACTTAGGAATTATTTGCACCATTAAAATAATTCCCTGATTGTGTGTTCACCACCCAAAGTCAAGTCTCCTGTCATCATTCATTCTCCCTACACCCTCTCCTACCTGCCCCTAGCCCTTTTCCCTTTGGCAGTCACCATACTATTATCTGTGTTTATGAGGCTTTTTTTTTTTTCTTAATCCCTTCATTTTTTCACCAAGCCCTCAAACCCCCTCCCCTCTGACAGCTGTCAGTATGCTCTCTGAATGTATGAATCCATTTCTCTTTTGCTTGTTTGTTTAATTTGTTCACAAAATTCCACATATAAGTAAAAGCATGTGGCATAAATAAATAAATAAATAAATAACTATTTATTCCTTTTTAGTGATACTTAGGAAGTAGATCATCATTCAGTGCAGAGCAGTCCTGGTTTTATTAGCATGGGCTTGTTGAAAACTTCATTTAAAACCCTTTGAAACTATGTAAATAGAGTGCTACCTGTACTTCATCATCATTCTCCCTAACGAAGCTTGAACAATGGCAAGGACTATGAGTACAGCAAGTCCACAGAAGGCAGAGGCTTGTAACAGTTCCCAGAGCAGCCCCATCAGAAGTGTCACTTGCAAAGGAGCGATCCACACAAAATGTGCCAATGCAAGTCCCTGGAAAATAAAATCACAGTGAAGACGGATGATATTTTATCTCCCACTCCCCTCCAAAAACAAACAAACAGACAGCACAGGTAAATGAATGGGGCACAGTGAGCTCATACAAACACTTCGTTATTCTGAGTACACTTAAATCTAGGTATTCATTACATAAAACACACAGCAATGTGATTAAACCTTCTACATGTAGACTAGGAATTCTCAAGGAACAAATTTCAAGTTATTGCATTCTTATGTATCTTTTTCCAGTGGAACTGAGATTGGATCTCTTAAGCATCATGTCAAAAATTTATTTTAAATACTTCTGTTTGAGCCCTGGCTGGTTTAGCTCAGTGGATTGAGCACAAGTCTGTGAAGTAAAGAGTTGCCAGTTCGATTCCCAGTCAGGGCACATTCCTGGGTTGCAGGCCAGGTCCCCAGTAGAGGACACATGAGAGGCAACAACACATTGACATTTCTCTCCCACTCTTTCTCCTTCCCTTCTGCTCTCTCTAAAAATAAATAAATAAAATATTTAAATAAATAAACAAATAACTTCTGTTTGAACAAAGCAAGAGCTATGTGAGAACAAAAGACTGTCCAGAGCCCAGTCTCTACAAAGGCACAACTCTATCCGATAATATATTCAGAATAAATATATTTTATTTTTATTATTATTCATGCTCAATTTAACCATAATTTATTTAGCACCTGTTGAGAGCTCAATACTATTTTAAATACTGAAAATGCAAAGATAAATAAGAATATATTATCCTCAAGTTCTTTGCATTTTTTTATGACACAAGATAGCAATGACAAAAAATTACTGAGTGTCATATTCAACTGAAGTAAGTGATTTAAAGTATTAAAAGAAAACAAGATCAGAAAAAGATTAAATTTTGAAAAACCTCATCAAATACCCAGCAAGCTGAGGTGCTTTTGAGTTGTGTGGGTTCACAAGACCCCAAAATGGCACTTCACTACACAACTTACCTTTCTCACTTTTCAAAAATAAGGAAGGTAAAGATGTTTTCTACTTAACCACTTATTACCATCATCTAATCCAGGAAAACCTTCAGGGTTGTATAACAATATTGCATAAAAGACTAAATTATTAGGTTCATACTTCATCAAATTTGTTCAGGTTGTTGGAAAGGAGACTAACAAGTTGTCCAATACTGATTTTATCTAGAACACGGCTTGACAGCTTTAAAGTCTAAAAGGAAAAATGGGAAGTTAAATGATGTTGACAAACAGAAGACAAATACATCCGTAAGTAATGTAATAATACAACTGAGAAATTAGTTTACTATGCATGTATTTTTAAGCAAAAATAATAAAAATTACTTTATATTCATCTAGCTTTGTATCTCCTCAGATCTATAAATATTATTCTTCACTACAAATATTATACTGGCATGTCAATAGTTAATTTTTTAAAGTATTTTTGTACCTCCAAAATGGAAATGATATTGCATATATATCTATAGATAGAGAGAGAAAGGGTTTGTTTTGTTTTTACAAAACATAGAACCAAAAGCAGTTTGAAATTAAAACCATGGCCTTAAATTCTGAATGCAGTCCTACAGCAACTCCATTAAGCAAAATTATTGTTAAAGTCAAAGTATATTATGAATAATTAATAATTTTGTGAAAGATCATATTACTGATAATCCTTAAAACTTACCAAGAAACAAACATTCATATATGCTAAATATAATTGTTTAGTAGATAAATTTATTACATTGGTAAAAGATTACAGTCATACTTTGCCAGCAAAATTTAATAAGTATTGATTTGCGATTAGATGGCTTTGATCTAAGAGTACCTGTTTAATATGTGTTTTAACTGAATCCCTCACATAGGTATTGAGCACTTAGTAGATTTAATTCACTTTATTCATGCATCAGGGATTATTATTATTAAGATTTTAAAAACATAACTAAATACAATGTGATGAATGAGTTAAAGGGAGTAGAATATAATAGGGTGGTTAAGAGAAAGTTCACATATCTGGTTACAAAATCTGAAAAGCTTTTATTAAAGAAGTGGAACTTAAGATGGGTAGAGAAAAATGAATAGCGTTTAGATAAGCACAGATGAAGAGAGAATCAAGGTCATTAATTCCAAAACACTATTAGTATATGACAGGGAAAATCCATTGAGCTGGATCACACATGACTTAGTTCTTACTAGAAGAGACTCAGTCTTGGATGATTAAGTTCTCCACAGGGCTCCATGTTAAGCACAGTAAACACTCAGTGAATATTTTTTCATTTTAGCCTTCTTGACTAAATGAAGTCTTCTTTCTTCACTCTATCTTCTTGAATATTCAGAGGCAAAACTAAATTTAGTTTGTACTTAGATTTATTATTTAAAATATAATTTGAATGCATCATAGTTGCAGATTTGGGAACAAAGCAAAATGGTGCCCTATTACAAAATTTGGAATATTGTAGAAAGAATCAGTGGTTGCCTGCCACATGAATGAAACTGGTCAGCTAAAGTACCAGTTTACTTTAGGAACCAAAACACAGCCCTGTGGAGATGCAATTGCATTCTTTGGTGATGATTCCAATGAAGGCCAACAAGTGTAGCTAGACAGGTAAAGCAAACTAGGTAAGAACAGATATTCAACAATTAGAAAGAAGGATAGAGACAACAGCTTCTAACTTTTCATGAATGTGCTGTGAATCTGAAAGCACCATATACTGCTGTATTTCTGCTAAATGTTATATATGGACTTATTTACAAACTAACCTGCTCTTTCTTCTCTCTTCCCTTCAGCCCAAGACTATTTTATTTCTCTCTTCCTGTATAACACAGTTTGTCTTACTATATTACTTTAGTACTATTTTATTTTCCTCAATATTGGAAAACCATTTACTTTAAGGAATGTGATTTATCCATTTTAGAAAATTTAAACAAGTTTTTATACAATGTTTTATATTTCTTGGTTCTTCGTTTCTTGAAATCTTTTATTGATAGTCTAGGGAAAAGCTCAAATGAGATAGCATCTCTAAATCACTTAGAAGCTTGTCATGTACATCATTAACTATAACTTACACTATGATAATAAGCACTTTTATAAATAATTTTTAAACTGGATTTTACTTTCTTTAATATGCTTGTTGTATGGATTCTACCTTCTGAATAATACGTAATTTCTTTACTTATGTAAAATTTCTGGATCAATATAAAATGTTTGTTGACTTATCACCCAGGCTTTCCTATTAATTGAGAACTGATGAGACTGAAGTTGAGGTGATTTAATTAAACTGTGGACTCCATTTTTCTCTTGTGCCTCCATAAAAAGCTTCTTTGAACAATAAAGTATAGTTGCCAAGTTTTACAACAAAACTGACTTTGTATGTACAATATGGAAGTGTTATGGGTTATTTGCTAGAGGGAATTTCAGATCCATGACCCTTATAAACCAAGTATATAAAGTTTTTACATTGGGAGAATAAAAGAGAGAATAAAGTTAAAGCAGTATCCAAATGATTCAACCAAAACAGCTTTCTGTTTGAGGTTGGCTAAGAAGTGTGTGTTTTTTTTCTGTAAGGTGGCTCTAGTAGCACTTAGTTGTCTTTAACTTCATTCAAAACAATTTTGTTAGATCATATTATGACATCTGTATAACAGCATGCATTTTAAAAAATCAAAATTGGTGAATTTTGTATAATCCTTTTAATATTGAAGATGAAAGAAAATATGCAACATTTTTGGTATATTATGCTTTAGTATTTCAAGGCAGGTAAAAATATGACTGAAATACAAAAGATTTGTGCAGTATATGGAGAAGGTGCTATATGACTGACTGAACATGTCAAAAGTGGTTTGCAAAGTTTGGTGCTAGAGCTTTCTCACTGGATGTTGCTCCGTAGTTAAGTAGACCAGTTGAAGTTGATAGCAATCAAATTGAGACATTAATTGAGAACAACCAATGTTCTACCACACTGGAGATAGCTGACATACTCAAAATATCCAAATCAATAGTTATTGGTGAAAATGAAAAATGTGTCTTTTATTTTACAGAGAAAACTAAGTGGAGTTTTTTGCCAACCCAATAAAATGACTTGGTAGATTTAACCAATAAAATAACTTGGTAGATTTAATCAGTCACATTCTAAATTAAATTCTATTTAATTTAGAATTAGGTTGGTGAAAATGCATGTTACTGAAAATGATCTCAGATTATGTTTACAAGGTAGCTAAATTGTAATCTAAATATATACCCACATCATGCTTCAGCAACTTGGATTCTTGTCTGAACAGTACACACAGAAAACAAGAAGTTCTTACAATTGCCATCAATGTGCTGTTCTAATTTTTTTTAATTTTCAAACTCATAGGATGATAAAAATCTAACTCAAAGTAAGGCAGTAGATAGATAAATACAGCCCTGTGTCACAACTAGTTAAGGGGAATACCCTTCATTGCTTGGATTATCATTAAAGATTAGATATATACAATACTCTTACAGTTTGAACATGAGGATACATGGCATCCTATTCTAAGACAATATTTTGTCAATAACTTATGCAGATGATAAGAACCATTTGAATGGGGAACCATGGATCCAAACAATGATGACATGACTAGTAAAAGAACAAAAATGAAACTGTATCATATGCAGTTTATAGAAGCTGTTCAAAAATTATTAAAGTGAATTAAGTTATCAAAGACCATTAGAGATGCTAATTATTGCTCTAATTTATTTCACTGACTTATGAAATTGATTTCAGCATTTATTCCTAATTTGTACCAGCACAGCATTTACAACATGATGCTACTCCATGTAACATGGAGACTGAGCATAGAAGTATTACCTTCTTATAAATCAAACTAAACATAGCTATCCTCATTTGCATTCCAATGTGGTGAAGGCCAAAAATGGCCGGGTGCAGAAGCAGTGTCCTCAGGATAAAGAGAAGGCATAATCCTATGCCTAGGTAAATTGAGATGGAACGTTCCACCTTGTTATCTGGATCATAGGAAGCTATGATTCTTCCCAGTAAGAGAGGCTGGACTGCTTTTGTGACTTCCTGCAGAAGAGGAAAAAAAGAAAAATGAAATTTTATTCCTCTTTCATAAAATAACCTAACAGTTTCAACACAGGAAGTTTTACCTTTAAAGGAAAACTTAAAATGGCTACACAAAGAGCCACACCATATATGAAATTCTTAACATTATTTTTAATATGTTTGTACTTCAACTCCCTGCCATTGTATCACCATTAAATTTTTTCTATAGCCCATCACCTCTATCACAATAGACCCATTTGCTTAATTGTTATTCAGTTGCAGCTTATAACAAAATAAATAAATGTTCATTAATCTGATTTAGATATCTATTCTACACATTATTACTGAATTAATTATAATCTTGCCTTAAGCAAAAGAGGACACACTTATCCCTTGAACAACCATGGCTATTCCACAAAAACTCTGGTAGTATTACTCTCAGAAACTATATGTTCATTGCAAAATGCAATTTATTTTTGGTAAACAAAATTCCAGTAATAGGATCATCTGACAACATCAAACAAAAACCTCACCACAACATGGAACTATTAATATTCAAGGGCGAAATCAGTACTCGAAGCCCTCACCCTTTTAGTTTTCCCTACATCATTTTAGGCAACATGTTCTCTAATATTAACAATGGAACCATTAACAGATATCACCAGATTTTTTTTTTATTTGGAAGGGAAAACATTGGTACTGATACCAAGCTTAGTCTAAAAATCATCCCTGTAATGACTGAAATAAACATAGCCCTACATTCCTTTGTTTTAGATTTTATATATTTATTTATTTTTGAGAGAGGGGCAGAAAGGAGAAAGGTAGGGAGAGAAACATCAATCTGTTGCCTCTAGTACACATCCCAACCAGAGACAGGTCCACAACCCCATCACGTACTCTGACTGGTAATCTAACTGGTGACTGTGCCAGTTGGTCCCTTTACAGGAGGACACTCAACCAACTGAGCCATGCACCATTCAGGGCATTCCTACATTCTTGGCATGTGAAAGCTGTGTATACACCATTGCTCAGATTATTTTCAGAAACACAAGTAATTTCCAAGTAAGGCAGACTGAAGCTTGAATGTAATGAGAAGGAATATAAATTTATTTGAAAATTTTGTAAAATATTTTGTTCATTTTATCAGACACAAATAAAGATGGAATTCACTTTATGGTTCACTTGGATAATACAAGACAAATTCAAATTTTTCAGCCAGCATGACATTGAAATGAACAGAGTTATGAAAGCCACATTCTTATCCCACCATGTTATCTATACTCTTTGTCACTATAGTCACTTCCCTTTTCAGGATGATTTCCTCACTGATAAAATGAGTGGTGGAGCAACCTAATCTTGAAGGTCCCCTACATTGTTAACATCCCTGACTACATGGTCGGGGTCTATGGAGTCCCATGGTAGATACTGAGGATTTCTTGGGCAACTGGCCTAGCCCACACCCTGCCACCACTACAGGTGTTTTCTTCTCAGAGGAATGCAAGTCTGAACAAAGAGAGTTTGGAAGACCATGTACTTAGAGAGCAGCACAAGTGATTGCATTCCTGGTGGGAATACTCCTGAGTCTCAGTTTAGGTGAGCCTCCCAGAGAAAAATTAAGAAGCATCAAAATAACTCCTGGGAGATAATATCTGTTCTCTCGTGGGATCCACTAGACCAGAGCTTAAATCACTGTGGATGAATTTAAATCCTTTAACAATTTCTGTTCTACCTGCATAGTAGGATAGGGAAGTCTGCTGGTTACTCAGACCAGAAAAGAAATCAAATAAAAATAGAAAAATTGGTTCAGGCATACACTTAAAGTAAATAAAATAATCCCAAGATAACTTTACCCTAAAAATTACAATCTGACTTCCAGCCAAGATGGAGGTGTAGGTAGACACACTGTGCCTCCTCACACAACCAAAATAAGGACAACAACAATTTAGAAACAAAACAGCAACCAGAACTGAAAGAAAAGTGTCTGAATGGAAGTCGAAAAGCCAAGGAGTTGAAATAGACACATCTATCCAGACCGGTAGGCAGAGCAGAGTCAAGTTAAAGGGGTTCAAGTTATAGGCCCAGCGGAGAGGGGTCGCTGCACAAGAAGTGGTGACTCTGGGCACACAAGGCACCCCAGCCGTGCAAGATGGCAGCAGGCAGACCCTGGGTGCACAGGTGGCAGCTGGCAGACCCGGGGCACAGAGTGGCAACAGGCAGACCAAGTGAGGCGGCAACTGTGAAGTGAGGCACTGTGTGCAAGGCGGCTGGCTGACTGGGCAGCAGTCCCACATTCGTGCATATATAAACCAGGCAAAAGTGGAAAGAGAGACAGACCGTGCAACCCTGGATCCCACCACCAGGAAATAAAGCCTCAAAACACCAATTGAAAACACCTGTGGTGGTTGAGGCGCAGGGAGAAACTCCTAGCCTCACAGGAGAGTTCATTGGAGATATCCACAGGGTCCTAGAATGCACACAAGCTCACCCACATGGGAATCAGCACAAGAAGGGTCCAGTTTCCTTCAGGGAAGTGGAAGGGACTGAGGTCTGACAAAAAGCAGAGCAAGCACCATTGTTCCTTCTCAGACACTGCCCCCACATATACCATCACAACCCAGTGACTGGGCTGCCCAGCCCTAGTGAATACCGAAGGCTCCACCCCTCATATGTAACAGGCGAGACAAGGCAAAAAAAAATTGCCCAAATGGAAGAACAGATCAAAGCTTCAGAAAAAATACAACTAAGTGATAACAGAGATAGCCAGCCTATCAGATGCACAGTTCAAAGCACTGGTGTTCAGGTTGCTCACAGAATTGGTTGAATTTGGTTGCAAGTTAGATGAAAAAAATGAAGGCTACACTAAGTGAAATGAAGGAAAATGCACAGGGAACCAATAGTGATGGGAAGAGAACAGAGACTCAAATCAATGGAGTGGGCCAGAAGGAAGAAAAAAACAACCAAACAGAAAAGAATGAAGAAACAAGAATTCAAAAAAATGAGGAGAGACTTAGGAACCTCCAGGACATCTTTAAACATTCCAACATCTGAATTACAGGGGTACCAGAAGGGGAAGAGTAAGAGCAACAAGTGGAAAAGTTATTTGAACAAATAATTAAGGAGAACTTCCCCAATCTGGCAAAGGAAATAGACTTCCAGGAAGTCCAGGAAGCTCAGAGAGTCCCAAAGAACTTGGACCTAAGGAGGAACACACCAAGGCACATAATTACATTACCCAAGATTCAAATGAAGGGGAGAATCCTAGAAGCAGCAAAAGATAAGGAGACAGTTACCTACAAAGGAGTTCCCATCAGACTGTCAGCTGATTTGTCAGAAGAGACCTTATAGGCAAGAAGGGGCTGGAAAGAAGTATTCCAAGTCATTAAGGGCAAGGACCTATATCCAAGATTGCGCTATCCATTTCATTTAGAATGAAAGGGCAGATAAAGTGCTTCTCACATAAGGTCAAGTTCAACTTTTTTTTTCCTGTTTTAGTCCTTCTACCTTTCTTCCCAAACTTATCGCTTTTTCCTCCCTTCTCCTGCCTTTTTCCTCCCTTCTTCTGCCTTTGTTTGTTTGTTTGCTGCTTTGTTTGTTTTTTTTTATCCACAAGAGACACAAACAACTGGGAACTGTGAAAAGACCAAAGTGGGACCCAAAGAGGGTGCATCTCAACAGTAGAGACAGAGAGACAAATTTCACTTTGCTATAGCACAGAAGCCACAAGTTGCTGCACATTTGTATTATTATTTTTTTCGTTATTCTTACTTCTTTTATATTTTAACAGCATCTTTGTATTCCTCCTCTTTTTATATAGGCTTCTAAGTCTTGGCTGGTTATATTGTATTATCTGACAGGTTTCCTCCCTTCTTTCCTCCACAGTGTATTGCTAATTTTCTATACTTCACACAACTTGTTTTCCTTTAGCACACTACCCAAAGCTCTATACCCCTATTCAGACAGATCACATAGAGTCTGTCATATGATTATTGCTCTAATATTTTTGTAAATAATATTAGTTGTTCTATACAACTGTAAATACTTCACAACACATCTCCAGGATCTTGGCCCATTTTACAGGTTCCTGAATTCTATTACTGTGGTGATTAACTCTATGTGCTCACATGCTACACCTATTTACTATTCTTTACTCTCACCTTACCTCAAAATCTGACTACCCGCAACTTCACTGCTTTCTAGATCCAACTCACAAGCCTTCCCTCCCCAACAAGAGACTTATCTTTTGTCCATCCTTTCCTAAAAGTGGCAAGTTGGGCTGAAGATTACGGTTAACACTATGTATAGCCTAAACATCTTCTATCTCTTCTCTACCAGCTGTGACTATAAATATCATAAAATACTCTTCTGCTGTCGTAAACCATTTTGCCTCCCCCTCCAACTCCTTTTTTGTGTGATCACACGCACACACAAAAGGAGTAAGTGGAAGTAGAGAACATCAAGATACCTGAAGGAGACTGCACCACTAAATTTCACAGGTATCCTACCACAGAAGTTCATACCATAAACCCAGGGAATCAGAACAGATCAATTTAAGAAGCTGAGGCTAACAAGAAGAGTCTCACAAACAATGAGAAGACAAACAAACATTTCCTCCCCAAATGAAAGGAAAGGAGGAAGCCTCAGAAAGAATGTTAGATGAAATAGCAGCAAATCAACTATTGGATATTGAATTCAAAGCACTGGTTATTTGGAAATTCAGACCTCACAATGAACTACCAGAAATTACATGGGAGCAATAATGAACTCACTGTAAACTGTATCAACATGAAAAAGGAAATAGAAACTATCAGCAAAGGCCAAGAGGAAATGAAGAATACAATTTCTGAACTGAACAACACAGTGGAAGGAATCCAAAGCAGGATCGGTGAAGAAGATCGGATCAGCAAGTTGGAGTACAAAGTAGAAAAACACTCACAGAAAGAGCAAGAAAAGGAAAAGAAGCTCAGAAAGAATGAAGAGGGATTAAGAGAAATGCAAGACAATATGAAACATAATAATATTCA